ATGAAATATTGTTAAGTAAGAATACAGTTGTTAAAGCAAACAAACATCTATCTGTTTTACGAAACCAAAGTCGTGCTACTTATGAGTTAAATTTGGTAGATATCAATTACATTCTATAGAATTCTATCATATTCTTCCTGTTTTAACATACGTATTCTTTTAGAATTTTTTACAATTAACCTCCAAAGTTTTACTTGATAATGGTTAATAATCTGTTCCTATATAACTATCCATTTCTTACAACTATTTATTTAAATCTAAATTTATTTAAACTCTACTATTCATGTTTTCTTTTCTTTTGTGTTTAAGTGCATTTACTTGTGAGTTGTTTCAAAAGAAGAAAAAAACAATACAGAAGAGATAAAAGAAAGTTTCTCTTATTTTTGTAAAAAGAAAAGATAATTTCATTAAACACGAATGTAGAATAATACAAAGAAGAAAAAGTGAAAACACAATAATGACACTGAAAAGAAACGTGAACACAAAAGGAAAAGAAAAACAAATTTAAAATAACAATGTCTTTATCATAAAACTAACAGATACATTAAAACAAACATTATTAATGAATGTATGCTTCTGTGTATAGTATACTCATCTATGCAAATGACATTTCCGAAAAATCTTTACTTTCATATAGTCGTTTGTTTGTTATATATACTGATGAGTATAAATAAAGTGACTTAGGGCAACCTTATTCCTACAGATTTAAAATTATTATCTTGCATTACAGTCAAACATTCTTCTACCGCTGAATAATAAATAAATACTTACAATATTAAAATTTTGATTAGGAAAAAAATATTTGTGCTGCCTAATCTGTAGGTATTTTTATGAAGTTCATTTTCTGCAGTACACGTTAAACATACATTTATATATACTAAAAATCCTTAACACCTGTATTTCTTTAAAAAATAACTCGTAAGCCAACCTGTAGAGCAACTCAAAATAATAACTCAACCATGTATTAAAAATCTCAAATATTTGAGTCTTATTTAAGTTAGGTTTCGTCCCTATTCAACTTCACCAGGTTATTGGACCTTAATTTTAGAAACACTAACATATATCACCCGATCTTTCCTTTAATATTATAGTGTATATGTATTTCTGGTCTTTTATAGTATTGTCTTATATCCACCTTCCAGTCACTACAATATATTTAGTTTCAAAATAAATTTCTTAGACGATTCAAATTTAATGGCCGATTTAGTGAGTGATCAAGATAACTTCGGAATATTAATTCGTATTAAAGTAGTTTATGTCGTTTGAATTGGATGAAGTAAATTCAATCACTAGCGCTGGTTTATCGCATCTAACCCATAGTAGTAACGTGTTAGATATAACTAAAATATTTATCCTCACCCCAATCCACTTTTTCTCCAGGATTCAAAGCAATGCTTTAAACAGAGTGGAAGATGTATGTGTTCATAAAAATAACCCTTTTTTGTATTTGAAACACATTCATAGTATCAATATCTATCCACGATTATGAATGAATAAACTGCTTCACCAACTTTCATTCTTTATTTTTTGTCTTAATATCTATTCTGCATTATCCTTTTACTCAGGCTTAGTTCATTCACATACTTCATTCTTTAGGATGAAATGTATTTCCGAGTTTTAACTTGCTTTGCATGTTGAAATAATGGTTTGCTTTATCATGATATGTTAACCATTGTTATAATTATTCACATTGTATAGAATGCCACTGAACATCAAGAGTGACATGAATTCTTTTTTTTTGACAAGACTTTTATTCTATCAACTCTCTAGTGTAGGAGTGTTGTAATTTCATTTCTCTTCAATGCATTACTTAACCAGAAGTAGTAATTATAAATTTTGATTTACTACTTCATTTATTCGAATAGTCTACCTTGAATTGAGTGACGATTAACTTTACAAAATCCTTGTATACGTGTGAATGAAATTGCTGGTTAATTAAAACAATTTAAAAGGCTAAGAGCTAGTGTGTATCCATTGCACTGGCTAACTAACTTATAAACATCTTTTATGATGTTCATTCTGGTATACACACTAAACTCACATCCTGTTAACGTCCGAATAAATTATGGTTTCATTTATCATTTTGTCTACCGACTATTAACATAACTGTTACTTTAAAAGTTAGGTAACCTGTTTAGGGTCGTCAGAATGTTACTTTGGTTACTTTGGTCATGAATAAACAAAGTGAATTCATAAATTTCTATCAACAATCTGGTTATTGATTTTTGTCATAATAAATATGTAAACACAGTAAGGTCAAATATCCCATTATGAGAAAGAAAAATAAAATTGACAAAAAGTACATTAAATAATGGAAGAAACAAATTAATAAATAGACATGTAAAAGAAAAACTATGTAGTTTGAAATTAAACATAAACAATAGTCAAAATAATAAACAAAAGAAAGGATAAAAGGGCATCAAAAAACAAAAAATAATATGTAGTAGACTGTCTTAAGTTTGTTATTGTTACTATTTTGAATAAATAAACTTGTATACTTAAAAAAAACTGGAGTTTGAAAAAGAATCCACTTAGAAATAATCATTTATGTAAGAATTTATTTGTGGTTGGTTGAACAAAATAAAGCGATTAAAAGAAAATACGTTAATTATAAAATTCAATTTAAGAGAAAAATTCACAAGCTAATTCAAGTGTTCACTATTAAAACTTACATGATCTAGTTTAATAACTGCTTTATTCTGTACTAATTTATACTGTGCCAGTGAATGTTTTAAAAGCGACTACTGCCAGTTTAAACAACAAAAATCAGTGATTCCTCTGAGTCTTATTATGTAGTTTTTTTCCAAGTACCAAGTTGAACACTAATAGCTATTGAGTTTCGCTTCGAATGAATAGTATTCTCAGTGATATGTGCACAAACATATTAAAAACTTTTTTTATAATCAAGTTATCTCTGGAGAAAAATGTAAGACAGATTGTTATACACAAACACTTAGTAATAGTTATGAACTCTATTATCGTCAAAGGAAAGGAAAAAATGATTATAAATTAATGATTTTTGGACTGATATCTAAAATATAGTGTGAAAATGTATTAACTCCTATCACAAACTACTTTTTTCTACGACGCAGGCAAATCTAGAACGAGTGTCTTTGTCTCTAAATGCAAAATGTTGTTTCAGGACTGGTCTATCTTATTACTTAGATTGATAATAGAGTGAATTAGCCGGCTGAGTCGACCGCTCCATTCATCTGAAAGGCTTCATCAGCCCTTGAAAGTTGATACATGATGTGATCTCTTCACAAACTGCACTGGTTTTTCTTAGCTAGGTGAAATTTTCATATGCCAATGAAAGGGTGAGTATACTGTATAGCTGCTCTCCCTGCATTACTATAAAACATAAGGTATCTAGGTGAAAAACATGCATAGACTCTTGCTTCTCTATCAGAATTCTTTTCAAAATATTGGTCGAGTATCATGAAACGATTAAGTTATCAGTACTGATGTTAGGCAGTGAGGTGCTAGTCTAAGATGTCAAACCAGCTGATGAAACTATATTTCATCAACAACTAAGGTGGCTGGATCATACTATGTATTACCAACTCCCGACTAACCCGACCTGCCATGTCTTCCGGAGTAGATGAATATTGAGAGAAAACTAAGGTTTCCCAAACAAAAACGCGACGTCAGTCTATAAAGTCATTGACAGTTGGTCGGAGACACTAGTAGATGCAGATTACCTGGTTAGGTTTGATCGATAACTGTCTTCAGTGGTTGGAAGCATTATTCAACAAAGCTCAGAATTACTCATAGCAATTCAAGTATACTCTTCCTCTGCATTCCTTTTGATCCGGTATTCCATCGTGCATACCTTCTCACTCTTTCTTCTCGAACCATATTCTCAACATTTAACAAATCTCGTTTCCATTAATACCACATTATTCTGAATGCTCCTCCAATAATCTTGTTCATTTAATCTCTTCACACTAATATGGCATGAAAACTTGGGCTAAGGCATATTCCAGCCTCTATGCTGATTATGACTGACTGACTACTACCATTACTCATACTACTAAAGAATAATATGCATTGAGACAATATAATCTAACTTTCGAAGTTATCGGATTCCTTTCATACAGTTACGTAAATCTCATCTAATAAATAAAACTTGACTATTGTGCTCAACTGTTATCTAAATATATCATCCTTTGCAAATTCATACTGATAAAATGGTCCGACAGTGTTTTGTGATCATTTAAATTTATAGACTTTAAATCAATTAACTTTTTTTTACAGTTTTTTATGTTAACGTTCTGTTGCTTAATCGTTATTTTTTTCCACAATAAAATCAACAAAAGTTAAAGAAGGTACCAGGGAAGTTTTTGGAAAAAACGATAATGTAACTTTTAAAACAAAAAAACACCCAGTATTTTAAAATTACGGACTGATTTTAGTTGAGCCTTCACTAAAATCCGGGAAGTACTGAATGACTGGGATCTCTCAGCTTTGGGCATCCACCACCCCACCAGAACGAGTCAAAACGAGAACCTTTGGTCTCGCAAGCAGACGCCGAACATCTTGACCACTAAGATGGCATCTAAATGGTGTAAATGTCCGATTCCAATAAATTAACACTGTTGTGCGAGCACCTCCCATTGCCTTAGGTGGATAACTGTCTCACATTGAATATGGCTGAACTCTACTAATAACGGTTTATCACATCTTGAAGTTAGTCACCGGTGAGCACATAATTGTTATCAGTATAGACTTTTGCGAGAATAATAGAATTTCCAGGCACTAACCTTAGCTAAACCACCATCGAAAGCCAGGACAGCTGTTTAGGGACTTCCCAGTAGTGTGGATCCGCAATATCACCACAGAGAAATGAACTCAGTACCTTCAGTCCCATTTTAAGGTCAAATATTGAAAAGAGAAAATATAATAAGCCATAACTTTTTTCTTTGATTTTATCTAATTTTCTTGAACTTATTCAATGCGACTTAGTCGTACTATTTTCTTCATATTTCTATTTTTTTAAGAGTGACACATCTACAGTATAATGCGAAGCAAAGTGTTCTACAGATGATCAATAAATCTTAAATATGGAACTAACAAAACACTTCAGAAGAGAAAAAACCCTAAATCAATGATTCTTAGTTCGATAATGTTCTTATATCCATCTGTAAAAAGTTGTTGGAAGTAAAAAGGCAGAACAAGTTTAATAGTTTTTTATTTATGTTTATCTTTGAATAGTTATGTGCTAGTGTTTGCGTTGAATAAATAAATGAATGTGTAGTTATGCTCATTACCTGATTTGTCGTATTCCTACTTAGTTAGATGCAAATATATTACCATTAGGAATGGTAATTTAGAAACGTACTATAATTGAAGTGTTATTTAAAGCGACAAAGCACTGGTCAGTTGGTCATATTGATGTTACGATTTACAACTGAGATTTGAAAATAAACTTTTCATGAGAACTGGAAGGAATTCACTAGAGATATTATTCATTTTTACTTCATATCATTCTATTTGATTGAATTATTGATTTCCTCGAATGTTGTATGTGTTAAAACCTTTAGGGTTTCACATCTAACACAAAAATTTTAGATGGGATCCTCAATTTTACTTAACGTACGGACACACAGCAGTCTGCTATACAACAAAAGTATTTTCTAGTAAGTTTTATCGATAGAAATGAGCCAACTGTTTGATCGCTGAGCGATGTTGAAATGAGAATTTTCAAGGATTACTTAAAATCCGTTGTCATAACGTGGATTACTTGTGCTTTCATTGAGTAACTTGTATTTTGTAAATGTTGTAGGTGATGTTGATAAAAATTAGTTACTGGAGTTTATCAAAACTTTTGAAAATAAGAAAATTATGGTTTTTTATAACGTCGTTGAATCACTGATTTTGATTATGATAAACATTAATTCATAAAGTTCTAGTTCTTATAACTCTTTTTTCAAAGTACCATAATACTGATGAAAAGTTCAGTATATATGGCAGTTTATAAAATTCTGATATGTATTTGCAAAACGAAGGTAAAAATAACAAAAAAGATATTCAAGTTCTATTGTTCCAGTATCCAAAAATACGCAATAATTTTAATATGTTGTAATAAAATACATTTGGAAGTATACATTTTACCCTCATCGGTATTTTGGTGCAATTCCACGCGAACTGGAGCAACTAAGGAAATTAAGTGTACATGACAACAAGGTATTCATATAGCTATGTTTATTGGATAGAAAATGGTCCCAATTATTCTTGTTGGACCACAATAAGGCATAAAATCAATAAAAATACTGGCATACACAAAGTATTACCGAAGACTTTATCAAAGTCTAAAATTTTTCTTGCTAATTTTTTCCAACAAATCGATTGGAATTAAATTTTCTTTGACTAAATTATCCTGTTTATTACAGTCACTGAAATTAATAAAAGAGAGAGAAGAAGAAGAAAGAGAGAAACTGATGGAGAAACAAAGACATGTATGCTATATGAAAATATTTATTCATGCATTTTCATCTTTTTTAATTTTTTTTTAAAAACATTATTGATACTACTGGAAATATTGGGAAGATGATATAAGCCAGTTACGTATATATATTTCAATTTAAAATTTTATTCATCATTGTTTATTTCTTTTCTTTTCCTCATATGAATGGTCAGTTCCACATTACGTACTTTATTTATATTATATTCAAACACATATGTGTATGTAGTACAATCTATTTGCTTACTATTCATCACATATGTTTTTCGATTTAGCATTAAATATGACCTCCTATTACATTCGTTTTGACCAGTACATTTGGAAGTGTTTATTTCGATAACTACTTACTGATTACTATGAAGTTTGAGGTTGACATTAAAATTCACAGTATTTTGTCTGTGGAACTCTATAACTTTTGGTTGTAACAGATTACATTTATTGTGTTATTTCTAGACGGACAAAAAATGTTTACACACTGTGGAAATTGTTACTACCTTATTATTATATTCATTGTAATAGCACTTAAACCCTACCTCATTAAATAAAACAATCTAGTAAGAAAACTGTATAATGAGTGAGATAATTTTACGAATAGTTTATAAAATGAGGTAGGTTGTGAGTAAATTAGACTTCACCGGTGACATTGGATTATCGATATACTATGCTACAAATTGACTGGTAATGCTAATATGAACTATAACATTTCAAGCCACTGATCTAAGTGTAACACACTCGCCTTAGAGCATAAAGATCCTGAGTTTGATCCCGGATGGCATCGTGAGTATTTACAGCTAAGGACCTCAAGCACTGGGACGAAATGGCTATTTGACTATTCCTGGTTTTCCTCAGTGCTCGAAGGTTCGAAGGTGAAATCGTACTTCCAACTGTACAGAGCTGTGACGGCAGAAAGTTATTCCTTCAGACAACCAGCAAAACAGCGATACTGCGCTCCCACAAGGAGGCGTGGGGTTAGAAAAGGTCGACCCTAAAAATGCGCACCTCGCCTTATCCCATGGATATTCGTCTTCAGCGATAAGGTCTCAAGAAGTACGGAAATAACACAAAAACACTGATGGAAATAACGCTCTCGTCGACCGAATTTTCGGGCATTGATCTCCTACCAGAAGGTCCACTTATCTACTTTAAATACGCAGATTATATAGTCCTGTTTAGTGGAGATGCTGATAAAATGCAGAGTGTTTTGTTAGCACTGAGCAACAATGTCAGAATGTTTGGGATGCGTTTCTCCACATCCAAATGTAAGTTGTTGCTTCAGGACTGGCCTGAGTCAACACGTGAACTAAGGATAAGGAGTGAAGTAGTCGAACGCGTTAGCGACTTCACTTATCTTGGAAGTCTGATCAGCCCTAATTGGTTGATGTCTGACGAAATCTCAGCACTGCTTCGAAGAGCTCGTTTGGCTTTTGCCAACTCTCGTCACCTATGGCGAAGGCGAGATATCCATCTATGAATTAAGGGACGAGCATACTGCGTGGCGGTTCGTTGTGTTCTACTTTACGTCTGAGAAACGTGGCCATTAAGAGTGGAAGATACTCATAAGCTACTAGTATTTGAGCACAAATGCCTTAGAAATATTGTTGACATCTGCTGGGATCACCGGGTAAGTAATAGTGAGGTTAGACGCAGGGTATTGGTGTATTTATTGTATACATTACCACCACCACTGAACGAACTGCTTCTATGAGTCACAATTGATTGATCACTGGGTGGTGACCAATGTCATGCGTGTCTAGTCCTTATTATTAGTGCAGATCGAATGCTATCGACCATGTTGCAATGTGGCCACCAGTCTAGGTGACTCGACCCTGGACCCGGGTTGTTCATTTTATTGTGCTAATGAGGTATGGCAACTTGGACCGGTGTACATGTGTTTGGTCCTTCGTTGTAGCTGATTGAGTGCTCAAAATGCACCTAGTTTTTGAAGAAAATTATCTTAGAACATAAAGGCTGTTAAAACACAATGAATAATATCACTTAAATTATATTCTGTGGATTATGTCTTCACGATTCCAATTACTTTTGATGACGTTTCGCTTAATCAGAGTTAAAGTCAGTCTACTGTTTTATTATCAATGCCAATACTCATAGTACAATACCAACTGTCCTACAATTAATTTTTATAATGGTTAGTTTTGTCGAGCCCTTTTATTGACTTATTTGACGGACAATATTATTCGAACAGTAACAATTCGTCTATTTCTTTGTATTATCATGATCACTATCATGTCTGTATAAACACATATGCTTGATCACATGTGACAGCATACACACATATTCCTCACTCTACCTTAAATGTTAATCACTTTAAATATCACTTGATGAATCGTTCTCCATCCCATATATACATGCTCGAATCTTAATAATTGCCTTGCTTTGCTTTGCCTTGACTCAATTTGACTGTAAATCCACCTCTGTATTCGCTTGCTCGTACACATTTACCTCTCTGCTCAAATCTCCTCGATATGCCTGTAATTTGCTTATCTGTGTTGTCCAAAAATAAACTGTAGCCCCTGCATCTTATTGCCTTCCGAATTCTTACACTGTCAGTTTTTACATAATAATGATTATCAAGGTGATTGAAAAACGAAACAAGGAATCAGATCGAAGCCAAGCCACTACAGTACCCAAACTAAAGTCTCTTGATACCGACAATGAATCGTTTGCTGTTTTAAGAAACGAAATAAAGGTTGAGATCAGGAACAAAAGTTCAAGGAGAGAATCATTTCATTTGATTAAACTCTCGTCAACTGTTTATAACCTATCACATTTTGAAATCAAAATCACTTAGAGGTTTAAAAATACTTACGTAAATCAGTTTAACTGAGATTTGTTGTGATCACCTATCAGCCTAATATAGTTCATATAAATTTCAAAGAAATTTATGAAAATCAAAACTACGAAAAAACGTTGAGAGTAAAATAGGAAGCTCAACGGTTGTAAATAAGTCGTTACCTAGTGAGCGAAAGCTAATAATAATTGAGCATGTAATGTGTAAAGCTCATCTAGTTAAAAGTTGAAACTATTGAACCAAAAGAGAATTGAAAAATGTAGCAACATGCATTCAACTGAAAAGTATACAATGAAATGATGTATTATAGTTTATGTTAACAAGATAAAGGTTAACAACACTCTCCTCTTTAACACATAAGTCAAAATTCTAACTTCTGATAGCAGTAACTTCAGTAAGCTATAGAAGGCTGGAACTCGCCTGTTAATCACCCACTTTGAAAGGTTCCAAGGTGTCCACTGTCCATAAGATATCTAGAGACAGAGTTACTCCAAGTCCATCTTCCTCTTCATCGAATACTTTTAAAATGATGTTCAAAAAATCTAATATATGCCCTGTTTTATGTTTGATTAATATATATCCCTTGGCAAGTTAACATATATTTATAGACACATTTGAATGTAACATAAAACAAGGTACTTATCAACCTATGTATATCTCTCTGCCTTCGCCATTAACATGGGTCACATAAAAGTGAGTAAACCTACTTTCTCAAATTTTCTAAATTTTCTTCACTCTTTTGTTCTTACATAATTTCAGTATATATTCATATTCCTAAGTAATTATCATTTAATACTTTGTTAATTCTCCTAGTATGCAACCTGTTAGCTGTTGATATATGTGCTTCTACTTTTCTCAAATAATTGCTTTACTTATTAAAATTACCTTATTCTCCCTCGTCTAACTACTTTGTTAACCATTTGATATTGTTATGTTTCACAAGTGAATATGAAAATATTATTATATAACTTGACTACTCAACTAGCATTATTATTTTATTGTTGTAGATTATATATATTAGTCGAGAGCTATGAAATAAAACTAATTGGAAAGAAATAGATTTTTGCTCTACTCGTTTTCAATTGAATTACTGAGCATACTTTGTACAGGCTAGTATTTTGCTTTCAGTGTAGTTTTTGGTTAGCGAAATTGCAAACTTTCTACTGACTTTCTCATCAGCATCGCCATTCTTAAGTTCGATAACGATCAGTTTTTATTGACTCTATATACATTTGATCTATTAGCTTCAGTTTTCTTGCATTCATCAATGAATGTTTATTGCTATTTCTGATGTTATTCAGAGACGACAATAAATCCTTACGTAGACTTGGATAAATTTATTCTGTTTAAAGATGTTGAAATTTGTTATCAAAGAACAATTCTTTAAATTCATATTCATCAATTATCCTCTCTCAAACAAATCTTTGTACTAATTCATTGGTTCTACACAAAAGGTTTATACATAACTGTATTTTGTAAAAAAAATTTTCCGCGGTGTTGAATCAAATCAATGATCAGTTAGATATACATACACTTATTTCTCTTTCGAAATGAGTATAAAATACATAATTTAAATGAGAAAGCTAATTACAAGATCAGCTGGATCAGACTGATGATTTAACGAATGAAGGTTAATCAAAATATATGAATAGAAAAGATAGAAGTCAAATAAAAGAAGAAAACAACTAAATAAAACATGGTAACAAAAACCATCCAAACTAATTCACATATTAGTGACAGAAAATACAACGTAATGAAAATAAAGTGAGGAATATATATATATATATATATATATATATATATATATATATATATATATATATATATATATATATATATATATATATATACGATAGGCAGAATGATGAAAATTATAAAAGAATAAAAATAGGCACACTAACAGTCAACATAGAGAATAAAAAAGAGACTATATGAAAAGAGGAAGGAAATAGACTATAGATAAAGACTAACAAAAACGAAAGAAATAAAATGCATTGAATGAAACTACAGAAACAAAGAGTACATAGATAAAGAAAAGTAGGAGAGTCATAAAAACTAACAACAATGACAATAATAATAACAATAACAACGCTTTTTCCTTCTAAATAAAGAAACAAAAATAATCAAAATGCTAACTTAAAAAGAAAAAAAAAACAAGTTGAATAAAATAAAAGACTGTGGTTATATAAAATAGATGAGTTAAGAAAAAGAAGGGAAGTGACTGATAAGGAAATAAAGGGCGTGGGCAGAAGTAAAGTTAAAAATTAATTAGATAGTTGTATCCGAAAGAAATATCTGTAGTTTATATATATATATATATATATATATATATATATATATATATATATATATATATATATATATATATATATATATATATATAATGTGGGGAACTATTGGTTATTATTGTTGTTTAAACATCAGTTCAAACTAAAACATAGTTCAATATACATATTGGATGAATAGAAACTAAACAATCCGAGGTATACAATTCAACCAAATAATTATATTTATTGACGGAACTCGTCATTCAAATATAATTAACAAAATGTATTTTTACGGGAGATAATAATCCAATATCAATGAGCTAGGGCAAAAAATAACATGGACAGTCTCTGCAAAAAATGGTTTAAATATAACTATTGTAAATCGATTTTCTGTTTTACATGAAAAATGATTAGGAGAGTTACCCTAGTACAAAACAGGACTTATGTTAACTGGATAAAGCGAACGACTAGTACACAATACCTCAGCGATAATCCACAATGGAATAAGAAAGAAACCCTTTTGAGAAAAAAATTAAATTACATTTATGT